ACTTCAAACTCGTGGTTGCGGACGATCCTCAGTGGTCAAAAACACTTGGCAGTCCGGTAACCACATTACCATCAGTGCACCCTGCTTGTTTCTTTTTGGGTTTAGGGTTTCGGGTTTAGGGTTTAGGGGTTGGTTACCTTACACGGGGACCTTGAACCAAAAAAAGGGAAAGGGTACCACTGGGCAACAAGTATATATTGGGAAGGGTGCTACTTGGTGTCCTTGCCCTAGATCCTTCCAAAAAGCGAGCGCCAGTGCAGCCAATCCTGGACACCCTCAACCTCAACCCTCAACCCTCAACCCTCAAAACCCTAGACCCAGATATCTCGCCTTTCAAGGTGCTACGGAAGTGACTTTGCCACCCAATGGTGTAGACATCAGAGACACTCCTCACAAGCCTATAAGGACTAAACCCTAAACCCTAAACCCTAAACCCTACACCCTAAACTTCCCTAAACCCTAAACCCTAAACCCTAAACCCTAAACCCTAAACCCTAAACCCTCAACCCCAAACATCCCTAAACCCTAAACCCTAAAACCCTAATAAGCTTTGCAGAACCAAGCTTCTGAGTGATCCGCGGCTGAGTTATCTGAAGTCCGCCGGAAATGACGTTGGAGGACGTGGCATCCGGTCCACTCTGGACCTAACACAGGGGCCGAGGTTAGGGTTTAGGGTTTAGGAATTAGATCTCGGGCCAAGACGGTAGAGGGGCCTGCTCAACTGAAATCTAGCACCCTAACCCCAAACCCTAAACTGGGGTAGGTTCGGGGGCCCTACAGCAAAAAGAATCTCTATGGCTCTACAAAGATGACATAGGGGATTAAGGGTACTCAAAAAAGAAAAAAATATGTTCAATCCTGCCCCTGGACAGGGCCTATGAACCCCAAAGAATGTAGAACATAGCACCAAAACCCATAAAGGGCCATAGTTTTGCATACTTATGTACCCTAGGGTGGATCAGAGCTTCGGGCCAAGATGGTAGAGAGGCCTGCTCAGTTTAGGGTTTAGGGTTTAGGGTTTAGGGTTTAGGGTTTAGGGTTTAGGGTTTAGGGTTTAGGGTTTAGGGTTTAGGGTTTAGGGTTTACGGAATCTGAACCCTACGCCCTGAATCCTCAAACCTGGACCCTAAACGGGCTCGCAAGGTGAGAGGGCGCAAGCCAAGGTCATTCTTAAGGCAAGTTCATCCAAAAGCCCTGAGTCCCAAACCCAAAACGCCACCCTTAACCCTTCACACCCTTCGCACCCTAAACCCTACACCTTAACCCTATACCCTAAACCCTAAACCCTAAACCCTAAACCCTAAACCCTACACCTTAACCCTAAACCCTAAACCCTCGGGACAATGATTTCCAGCACTCACGAAGTGAGCCACAGTGTCACAGTGTTAGGACGATGACCACCGGGAAGTGGGTGCACAGATCTTCTTAAGGGATGCAAGGAGGGACCCTGGACGGGACCCTCAATCGTCTCACTTCTTCCCCTAAGTAACCCCTACATATGTATATATATATATATGTATATATATATATACATATATATATATACATATATGTATATATGCATATATATATATATATATATGCACACTAGACCCAGGAGAAACCGAGGAATAGAAAGGGTAATTACCCTTTTTGGTCTTACGGGGATTATTCGGTCAACCCCAATCCTGAGAAAAAGGGAACTAAGGGCCTACTCCGGGTCCTACTCCGATTATACAGTCCCTAGACCTTCGGGTTGACCATTCAACCCTAAACCCTAAACCCTAAACCCTAAACCCTGAACCGCACTCCTGGCTGGCAAGTGGCGTAGATGCTGGGCTGGGCACCCAGTTGCGAGACGTTGAAGTTTTGGTTGCGGTAGCATGTGATGGTGCGGTTGCCGGACGCCACTGCCTGCAGGGTGTTTGGGTTTTTGGGGTTTAGGGATTAGGGTTTGGGGTTTTTAGGGTTTAGGGTTGAGGGTCCACATCATTCCCAAGCCCGCGGGAGCACCTCACACAAACCTTTTGAACAAATAACCTAAAACTTGAACCCCACTGACCCCTGCGCCATTGAAACTTCTGACCCCTATACCAACCCCTAACAGCCTGCTAACCTGCCCCCGCGAAACAATCTTTTTGTCTGTTAAGTTGTAGAAGCTACCCTATCAACCGCTCAACCCCCAAACCCCGAAGGTCAACCTAGTTGCTGAGCACCCTGGGCAAAAAAGGCTAACCTTTCAAATGTAGTAGGATGCTATATACCTCAAAAGGTTAAAGGCTGCCTAAACCCTAAACCCTAAACCCCAAACCCCAAACCCCAAACCCCAAACCTCAAACCCTAAACCCCAAACCCTAAACCCTAAACCCTAAACCCTAAACCCTAAACCCTAAACCCTAAACCCTAAACCCTACTCAGCTACTAGGTCAAAAGGCCTGCGCGCACAATGGCTGGTACCCAGCTCCCGGGTTCGAAACGTCGGGCGGAATGTCATCGAATGGCGTCCCCCACACCTCCGGCAAGAGGGTTTAGGGTTTAGGGTTTAGGGTTTGGGGTTTAGGCTTTAGGGTTTAGGATTCAGGGTTTAGGGTGCAGGGTTCAAGGTTTAGACTTGGGCCTGGAGGTTAAAGTTGTTGCTGATGGGTAGGGTTGTGTAGTCTTTCTTGCTACATATATACATATATATATAGGTACATAATATATGAATTGTACTGGGTTTTTCTGTGGGCTTAGGGTTGGGGTTTGAGGGTTTAGGGCTTGGGGTCACAAAGGGCAGTTCATCGACTTTGGGGAGAGATGGCTTGGACTCCGAAGTGGATCTGAGGCCCAAGGTGCATACCAGTTTGCTGTTTAGGCGGTTTGGGGGTTTAGGGTTTAGGGTTCAGGGTTTAGGGTTTGGGGTGGCGGGATTTAGAGTTCAGGTCGGACAGGGCTTGGTGGCCGACATTAGTTTGGGAACCTTTGGGGGTCGGAGCTTGCCAAAGCCTTCAAGCACACAAAGGAAGCTAGCAGCAAGTCACCTCTACCATACTATGTGATATACTCTTGTACTATTTTCTCTTGTAGTTTACTGTTGTGTATATATATATATATCTATGTACGCACATATTTACACATATGTGTGTATAAATAAAGAAAGAAGGAAACAAATAGAAATATAAATATGAATATACATATAAATACAAATATATATATATATATACATATATGGATGTTATGTATATGTATATGTATATATATATATATATGTACACCGTGAACATACTGCACACAGCAGAAATTAAAGAGTCCTACCCGGCCCCGCCTGAAGGTAGCCCTGGGAGACATTGTCCGGTGGAAGCGTGCCATCTGAGTCGGCTGTTGGAGCGATTCTTTGGATCAAGAGGCTTTAGGGTCTAGGGTTTCGGGTTTTGGGTTTAGGATTTAGGGTTTAGGGGTTAGGATTTAGGGTTTAGGGATTAGATTTTAGAGTCTAGGGACCTCTCTGAGCGAATCTAGGGGGCTATGTTGGGGTTAGGGTTTAGGGTTTGGGGTTTAGGGTTTAGGGTTTAGGGTTTGGGGATTAGGGTTTAGGGTTTGGGGTTATAACCCCAATTATATTCCCAGAAGTCCCCTAAGTAGACTTATAAGTGGGGTTAGAAGTACCCATGAACCTCCAGACCCTAAAGTGGGGTTAGACGTACCCATGAACCTCCAAACCCTAAACCCTAAATCCTAAACCCTAAACCCTAAACCCTAAACCGATCCACAGAATTCTCGCTCATAGTTTGAGCCGGAGATTTAGGGGTTTAGGGTCCATGGGGTTGAGGAGTTAGCTGAGGGTTTGGGAGTTTAGGAGTGTAGAAATGAGGGTTAGGCGTTCAGGAGTTCAGGGATTAGGCGCCGGAAAGTAGGAGTTTAAGGTTAGGAGTTTAGGAGTTTAGGAAATAAGAAGTTTCGGAGTTTAGGAGTTTAGGCGCAGGGATTAGGATTGAGCCGCCCAGGCACCCACCACGACGATCATAGGCTCCGAGTTGGACATGTCTTGGGAAGGCTGCTCAAGTCCTGCTTTAGGAGGGAGAATGTATGTGTGTGTGTGTGTGTGTTTGTTCGTTTGTTCGTTTGTTTGTTTGCGTGTTTGTGGGGTTTGGGGTGTTTAGGGGCCGGGGGGGGAGGGGGGGGGGGTTCGGAGCTTCTTGCGCTTGTGGGGCCTTAAGGCCGTACTCCTTGAGGATGCTAGAAGCATCGTGAGCAAGAAGCAACAGACCCTCTAGATACCTAGCTGCTGAGTACCCTGGGCCCAAAAAGGTTAACCTTCCAATCATGGTAGGATTATAGGTACCCAAAAAGGGTACCTACTCAGCTACCAAGGTTAACTCTAGTTGAACCCTACACTTTAGCCCCTATAAACCCAAAACCCACCAACCTCCGTAATCCTCTATCGGCCTAGCTTGAATCGACAAAAAAGGCCGTTGAATGCTACTCGGCCCCTCCAGGTCTGATATGCCCTCAAACCCTGAAGTTTACGATTCAGTTCGGGATGTTCCCCCTTATACGAACAGTCGCTAAGGGATTATAATAGGGGGTGCTGTAATCCCTATGAGGACTGTTAGTATAAGGGGGGACATCCCAAGATTTAGTGCTTGTGGCTTAAAGATGTTGTATGATTCTATGTTATTGGGGACTAGGGTTAAGCCCTAAGCTCTTACCCCAGGCGAGGCCCTACTTGTCCAGTGTCCTGAAGGAAAGTAGTAGTATGCACGTACTACTCCAACAAGGTTTCATGACTCACGCGACGACCAACTACGTGAGCACTCCAGATAAGATCTCTCTCAAAGTGGGTTTAGGGTTTAGGGTTTAGGGTTTAGGGTTTGGGGTTTAGGGTTTAGGGTTTAGGGGAAAAACATGCAATATCCCAAACCCCTACCGAACCACGACTCCCTGCCTTCCCTGCCTTGACCTACACACCCGAACCCCTCAGCCGAGGCCCCTAGACCCTAAACCCTAAACCCTAAACCCTAAACCCTACGAGTAAACCCTAAACCCTAAACCCTAAACCCTAAGACTAAGACGCCCTTGACCTTCGAAAGGGCCTCCCACGGCCGGCTGCTCGGGCTGAACGGAGCCGGGTGGTCCGAAAGAGGCGCAGAACCGGTCGGAGAAGAGGCCTGGGCAAGGTTTAGGGTTTAGGGTTTTGGGTTTAGGGTTTAGGGTTTAGGGTTTAGGGTTCAGGCTTCAGGCTTCAGGGTTCAGGGTTTAGGGTTTACGGTTTAGGGGCTAGGGTTTACCTGGGACGCTCTGTACCTACAGTTTTCTGGGTTATACCTACTAATCAGGGTAGTTGCTACTAAACTGTAGGCAAATAGAGTCAGACATATGAACGTAGGTGTTAGGGTAGTCTACTGAATGTATGGTTGGAGGGGAGTTAGGAGTATCTGGAAGCATCGTCTGACTGAGTCCGTGCGCATGCCCATTGTAGTTCAGAGGCCCTTGATCAAGATCTGCGTCTGTGTGGTCTGTGTTGTGGCCTCTTGGCATCGGAGCACTCCATTTCTGGAAGCATCAGCCAACATGGCTTAGTACAAGGACTTTGCAAGAGAGTTCCGACCTACCTCTAGGGCCCGAAACGCAAGAGTAAGTCGCAGAACGCCCTAAACCCTAAACCCTAAACCCTAAACCCTAAACCCTAAACCCTAAACCCTAAACCCAGGAACTTCTGTTCCCTCCTTCCACGCCACCCCCCCCCCCCCCACCCATAGTTCCCGTCAACCCTCAACCCTGAACCCAAAAATTCTGGCCGTGGGGCTTTGGGAGGTTTAGGGTTTAGGGCAGTTTAGGGTTTAGGGTTTCGGGTTTGAGGTTAAGGGTTTAGGTGTTTCGGGGAATGTTGATGGCTGTAGTCTTCTTAGGCTTTAGGTGCTTCAGGCTTCGGACACAAGAACACTAACCACGAAATCCTTCCCCTGCCCTTGACCCCAGAGCATGAGCAGAGCGGCCGCGTCGAAGCACCAGGCAAAGGCCGAGCCGCGCGTTGGCTGACGAAGATGGAGTTGTGATTCCGGAGGGGAACAGGGGGAGGGTAAGGGGGGGGGGGGGGGTGCATGACTCCCAAGCAAGGTTCCTGCTTCTCCTGTTCAGGCTATGTGGGGCTCAGGCTGTCTCGGGTTTGGGGTTTGGGGCTGAAAAGCAAGTTACCACAATTTTGTGGATTAGGTTCAAAAACTATGGACTTTCCTGGCAAGTCCGACGGCTGTGCATGAATTTAAGCTCCTTAACTCATGGCTTCCCCTACTACCTCCATACTACACCCCCCCCCCCTAGGTCCCCCCCCAATAATCCCCCCCAATAATTAAGTCCTTTAGGGATAATTAAGGCAGGCTACTTAAAGGGTGGAACCCTCAAAAGGGGGGGGGGGGGGGGTAGTACACAAGGGGGGTAGCAGGGAAACCCATGATTAACAGCTCCGAGCAAGCCAACAGATGGGGCAATTACCTGCAGGTTATTTTTGGGGACCACATGAACCCTAAAAAGAGGTTTACGGTCCATATGCCTGAATAGGGATTGGGGACCAAATGAAACCTAAAAAGAGGTTTGCGGTCCATATACCTGAATAGGGATGATAGTACATAGGGTATATGATCCCAAAATATTGGGTTCATTTGTTCAGCAAGGTAAGTGTAGATATTTTCTGGGTTACGTAAGGTACCTCGCCAAATTGCAGCTGCCAAGTGAGGATCTAGGTCAGCCCTAGGCTTCAGAGACGCATGGGAGGGGGGGGTTTAGGGTTTAGGGTTTAGGGTTTAGGGTTTAGGGTTTAGTACTGGGAGACACCAATACGTGGGAGTTTGGGGTTTGGGGTTTGACGGTTCAGTGGGGGGAGGGTGTATCTGCCGAGAAGGATATGTAGTGCCTTAAACCTAAACCCTAAACCCTAAACCCGAAACGCTAAACCCTAAAGCCGAAGATTCCTTAGACCGCTGGCCTGTGGGAGTCACTCCGCATCTCAGTGTGTCGGTCGAAATCACCACCTGCCATCATAGGCTGCTTGCGGGGATTCGGGCTCAGTTCATGTATGTATGTATGTATACATATTGTATATATGTACATATATATATATGTTATTTCTCTATGTATACCCCTGATGGGACAAGAAAAAGCGACCCTAAACCTAAACCCTAAACCCTTTTGGATACATGAGTAAACGAAGCCCTAAGCAAGCGAAATGTAAGTTCTTTCGAGTATCCGAAGGTAGGACTTGTGGGAGTCAGGTCCAGGAATCCCAGAAGTCTACCTCCACGTACATACACCATCCGCGCACCCTGAAACAGAACAGCAACCTCGGGGTTTAGGGTTTAGGGTTTAGGGTTTAGGGTTTAGGCTTTAGGGTTTAGGGTTTAGGGGTGTAACGGTTTAGGGGTTTAGGGTTTAGGGTTTGGGGTTTGGGGTTGAGGTTCTAGGGTCACACCCTGAGCATCAGAAGGTGGTACATTCCTTTAAAACCTACGACACCTCTTTCAACCGCAATAAAAGCATAAGCCATGAAGTCTAAAGGATCTGAAGACCTTCCGAAGCACCAAGAAAAAACTCCCCCACCTAAAACCATCCACAAGCACAAGCATGTAAACAATACACGAAACCCTAAACCGTAAACCCTCTTTTGGAGGTTGATTACCAACAGGCATGCCCACCTCTCGTTGTGCATCCGAGTAGCACCCCCACTGCACCTCCCACCCCTCCCGCCCCCAAAGTTTAGGGTTTAGGGTTTAGGGTGGGTGAGCCGGGGGGGGGGGGGGGGGGGTGCAATCTCAATTTAAGCCGATCCTGCATGTGTTTTCCGTGGCGACAATGTAAGCTCAAACCCTGTGAACCTTCTGACCCCAGAACCCTGCTCAACCCGATAAACCCTGTGAACCCTTTTAACTTTTCCCTGCAGCCCCTATGTAGGCCCTATGTAGCCCCGTATAGGCCCCTAAACCCTAAACCCTAAACCCTAAACCCTAAACCCTGAACCCTGAACCCTAAACCCTAAACCCTAAACCCTAAACCCCAAACCCCTGAACCCAACTCAGCACATGAGTCCAAGGAGCGAGGTTCGTGCAAAGGTTCTCTGCCCCAGTGGTCAGGAGTGATTGGAGCACTGGCTCTTGGCATTCCTTTCGCTTCAGACCCCAAAACCAGCTGCTGGGTTTAGGGTTTAGGGTTTAGGGTTTAGGGTTTAGGGTTTAGGGTTGAAGGTAAACCCTGAACCCCAAGCAAAGGCAACTCCGGACTTGGGGGCCTTCAGTGAAAATACGGCCCCAAGGCGGCGATGCTCTTACGAAGGGCTTGCAAACAATGGGTTTCTGAGAGGTGAACCCTAAACCCTAAACCCTAAACCCTAAACCCTAAACCCTAAACCCTAATCCTCGGGCCTGATAACCACTTACACCCGGAAAAAACTCAGAGCCTTAGCACATGATGTAGGGTTCAGCGTTCAGGGTTGGGATGTTGCCCCCTTCTACGCCGAAAACCCAAAACCCAGTCCCTTTAACCCGAAGACCCTACAGACTCGAATAAACCCTAAACCCTAAACCCTAAACCCTAAACCCTAAACCGAGATCCGCCCAGGGCCCCATGTGCTGTTTTGTAGCCGCTCTCAGGGTGTTGGGGTTGAGGAAACTACGTCCCTGATATCCCCACACATACCCCTTCAAGGGCTTTATGGGTTAGGGCTGCGCGAACTCAGGAGGCTTGGAGCTAGATGACCGTCAGAGCTGCCCCCCCCCCCCCCCCCCCCCCCCCCCCCCGGCCCCTAGGCGTGTATAGCAACATACAGATCCTTGCTTTTTGTTCTCGGATTTAGAGGTCAGGGCTTTGGCAGATGCAAACATCTCCCCCTCCCACAAAAACAATATCATTTATACATATATATGTAATCCCAAAAAAAAGTCCTCATACGTATCTATATATATATATATACATATATATATATATGTATCGACGTATTGTTATGAAGGTTCCCGGCAAAAAGTCTCTTTAGTGACACGTGGTCATCAAGAGAGTTCCTTAAACTAAGCCCTACAGCAAACCACAAGCCTGGAACCCTGAACCTTCACTGAAGGTCCATGTACCTAAATGGGAAATACTTGGGCCTCAAAGTACCTTCTATAAAAGGGACTCTGGGGTCCAAGCATATGATAATAAGGTACATGGACCCTTGGGGTCTGTCTAAACCCTGAACCCTAAACTCTAAACCCTAGACCCTAAACTCTAAACCCTAAACCCTAAACTCTAACCCTAAACCCTAAACCCTAAACTCTAACCCTAAACCCTAAACCAAGCGGCCGAAGTGGTGCACGTCGCTGGGATGCCCGCGACGAAAATCTCCGCACTGATGGGCTCCGCAGTGTAGTTGGACGGCACCGCCAGGTTCGTCCTGCAAGGAGTTGTCACCAGAAAGCACCCACCCTCCTAAACCCCCTAAACCCCCCAAACCCCCTAAACCCCCTAAACCCCTCAACCCCCTAAACCCCTCAACCCCCTACACCCCCTAAACCCCTAAACCCCCTAAACCCCCCCAAACCCCCTAAACACCCTAAACCCCCCTAAACCCCCCAAACCCCCTAAACCCCCTAAACCCCCTAAACCCCCTAAACCCTAAACCCTAAACCCTAAACCCCCTAAATCCTAAGCCCCACATCGAACCAAGCGGCCCTGTCACCGTGAGCTGCGTGGTCTGCGTAATGGAGATCGTGTTGTTGAACATGTTCGTCACCTGCATGGGTTTAGGGTTTAGGGTTTAGGGTTTAGGGTTTAGGTCCCTTTAAACTTAAAACCCTTGAACACCAAAAGCTCGAAGCCACCAATGCCCTAAACCCTGCACCCAAAACCCTGACCACGCAAGATGTACATGAATTCGGGGTTTTAAGGCCTCGGGGTTTAAAGGTTAGTTCGGGTTGCTTCCGCCCAATTCGAAGCTCCTTTCAAATATGAACCCTATAACGTTGTCCCATTGTCCCTATATGGCAAGATATACCCACGTGGAAACCACGAGCAACATAAACTTCCAGGACTTCATGGGGTTGCATAGGGGTTGGAACCCATAGACAAAAACCCTATCTCGGATCAACACCAGAAGAAAACGCAACAGCAAAGACTTACCTTATAAATAGAAGGATCCTGGCGGACCGTGCGAACCCTCGAAGGGTTTACGGTCCAGATTCCGGACTAGGAAACCCCAGAGGATTTGTCATACCTGAACCCTGCTAAATCCTGACCAATCCCAGTGACATGTTAAACAAAAAACCTAAACCCTACGAACACCCTAGACCTTAATCAAGGTGACGGGGTCACTGATAATCGACTGCTACCTGCAACCTCAGCGGCAGGTCCTGAGTTGGGTGCACGCTATCTTCATATGGGTGGCTGTCAAAATCATGATCCCTTTCGGGGTACCCTAAATATTAGGTGCCGCATTATACTAGGGATCCAAAAAGGGACCATAATTTTGACAACCAGCCATATAAGATGACGCCAGCCCTGAAGCTGGGTACGAAGAAATGAACGAAAAAAGAAGAATTGCAACTGAAGCTACGTGTATACAGCTCTCGGGGTCAGGGCAATATAGGGGCCTCAATGATTTCAATAGGGTTTTGGGGGTTGTCTTGTAGAATACTTATAAAGGGGCCACAAGGGAAAACTATTCGTAATCCCTAAACCCTAAACCCTAAACCCTAAACCCTAAACCCTAAACCCTAAACCCTAAACCCTAAACCCCGGCGCGAGACATTCGAAAGAGAGCCCTGCAAGGCTGCATGCAGCCAGGCCACGATCTCGATCACCACTGGTGGCTGGAAGCTGACCTGACAGTTTAGGGTTTAGGGTTTAGGGTTTAGGGTTGGCCTGACAGGGCGAGCATTTGGGGGTTCACGATATCAGGGGGGTACCTTATTGGGGTCCTTATTAAAAAATAAAAGAGGATCCTACTATTTGGAGATCTATATTAGGTGTCCCTTCTTATTATTATCCTTATCGTAAGCCCCTACAACCCCTGAAACCCTAAACCACCCTAAACCCCCCTTTTCCCGCCTTTTCCCCTAAACCCTAGACCCCCAAACCTCTAAACCCTAAACCCCTGCTGAGGGTAGTTAATTACATGGTCCCTTAGTGCGGGCCCTTAAATGGAAGATTCAGAGGGGCTGGGCTGCAGGCTTTCGGGTCATCTCTGACCGGCTGGAGCCAAGGGTTCACGGTTGAGGAAAGATGAGGGTTTAGGGTTTAGGGTTTAGGAGTTTGGGGTGTAGGACCGACGTCCAGGAGGTGTAGAGCTTGGGGTCGAGGACTCGGAGTTTAGGGTTGAGGGTAATTTCTGCAGGCCTTCAGGATTTCGGGTTGAAGTTGAGGGCTTAGTGCAGAAGGCTTTGGGGCCCACCAACACCCTCATGCAAACGGTAAGTGACCCTAAACCCTAAACCCTAATCAGACCCTAAACCCTAAACCCGAAACCCTAAGCCCTAACTCCTAAACCCTAAAACCTGCAGCTTCCTGGGCCTTTGAAGCTTATCCCAAAGCCCTAACCTAAAGGCTCCAATGCATGTCCTTTCTGGGTTAGTTATAGGGGATTCTGGTAGAGGGACACAAAAATCTAGTATTGGGAGCCTTTGGGAAGGTCCCTGAATTCCTAGACACAAAGCGTGTAGGGTCGAGGGCCAATTTTGCAGCAGCGCGGCCAGGTAGATTGTACGAACGTCCAGCGTCGGGTAGATGCTGTCCAGCGGCGGTCTGATTTCTATGACGACCGGATGCCTTAGTGTTCCAGAGCCCGGTGCTTTTGGGAAACTTGTTTAGGAGCTGTGGCTAAGTTACCATAACCAGGGTACGATGATGTCTGCTATGTGGGGGTTTATGAAAATCGGGGACCCTAAAAAAGACCCCCGACTAGTAGGGGCCCCTTATAATAAGGAACCCAACAAGGTGCCTCCTAAATTCGTGAACCCCCTAACATGGCTCTTTAAGGTAACTTTCTTTAAGCCCCTTACTCTCAGGGTAGTTTCATGATCCCTTAGTCTGGGCCCTAAACCCTAAGCCCTAAAACCCTAAAAGGGGACCCCTTATATCTCCCTTATATACCCTATTAGCCTATCCAACCTAGGGGCCCATACATCAGAACACGTTAAACAGGGTACTTGCGGTACGGGACCACATCAAGGGCCTGTGAAACTACTGGGAGGTTCATGGGTACTTATAGCTCCAATGATTAAGTCGACTTATATTCTACTTAGATGACTTACAGGGCTTATAAGTACAGTTATGATTGGGGTTATAGGTACCCTGAACCTCCAAGTAGGCTATAGGGTCGAGGTGTGTAGGGTTTAGGGTGTGGGGTTCCCTAAGCCCTAAACTCCCGAACCCCTTAGCCCTGAACCCAAAACGGTCGTATCCGCGCTGAGCTCACCACTCGCTGCCCAAACCCACGATGTTGGCGATGGTGATGAAGTACCGCGTCCTGCTTACGAGCGAGTGAAGCTTGCACCTCAAACCCCACACCCCGAACCCTAACCCTAAACCCTAAACCCCGAACCCTAAACCCAAGAAGATGGAAATCGTCACAGAAAAGGAGCCCGAAAGGGACCCTGCACGCAAAAGCCAGACTTGGCTAAGGACCTTTGTAAGACAAAGAGGGGCTGGACAGTTTTTGGAGGTCCTAAACCCCAAACCCTAAGCCTTAACCCTAAACCCTAAACTCTAAACCCCCAAACCCTAAACCCTAAACGATGCAAAGCCCGAATGAGGATGCAAAGCCCCAAGCACTCGCCGCGGCTCCGTATCAGCAGGTTCTCGGTGTAGTTCTCAGAGCCTTGTGGTTGCAGGGGTTTAAGGGGCTTGGGGTTGAGGGGTTAGGGTTTAGGGGTAAGGGTTTAGGGTTTAGGGTTTAGGGTTTCGGGGTTTAGGGAGGTTCAAGAAGTCAGGGTTTTAAGGGTTTAGGGTTTCAGGGTTTAAGGGTTTAGGGGTACATCTTAAGGGTTAGGCGCGGATTTCAGGGTTTAGGAGTTCAGGGTTTAGCGGTTAAAGGGAAGGCCCAAAACCCAACGCTCGGGGGGTCGTGGCCGAAGAGTCTAGGGGTGTTGTTGGGTTCGTGGTTTGATTGTTTAATCCCTAAACCCTCTAAACCCTAAACCCTAAACCTGATCGAGTTCGTAGACCAAGGGGCCAGTGATCGTGAGAAGCTGGGAGAAGGGGCCAATGCGGAGACCCAAAGCCGTCGACTCAGGGGTTGGCAGAATTTGGGGTTAAGGGTTTAGGGTTTAGGGTTTAGGGTTTAGGGTTTGGGGTTTTAAGGGGGTAAGGGTGTAGGGCTAGGGATTAGGGATCTAGGGTTGGTTATGGTTGAGATTTTTCCGACGAAAACAAGGGTACCCTCTTGGGGGGTTCTTCTCAGGCTTCTATTTGGGTACCCTCTTGAAGGTTCTTTAAGGATTGCAAGGATAGTATTGAGGTACATCAGGGCCAGCTCAGTGCTTCGGATTCAGAACGTACGGTTCAGATTCGCGCGAGATTAAGATTTCAGGGTCTTTTGTGCCCAGGTCTAAAGCAAAGGGTTGAAGGTTTAGAGTCTAGAGTTGAGGGTGTAGGACTTCAGGTTTTGGAATGTTTAGGGTTCAAAGGAACTCAAGCCTAAAATTCTGCATTTGGTGGAGGACTTTGAAGCTTCGAGTTTTGGGGTTGCTAAGATTAAGTTGCACAAGAGCGGGACCGATTATATTTGTATGTATGTGTATATCTTCCTATGTTTGTTTTTTCTTTCTTTTTTTTTTTTTGGGGGGGGGGGGGGGGGGGTGGGTGGGTGGGTGGCTTGAAGAATTCAACGTGTTTAGGGTTTAAGGATTTTTTTTAGGGCAGACCAGGTTTTTGTGATGCTATCAGCTAAGTCATCCCCTAAACCATAAACCCTAAAGCCTACATCCTACACCCTAAACCCTGAACACCGAGCAGTGCCCAAGTTGTCTTGTCGCCGTTGGCTTTCGAATGTCCACCACCACCCGGTTTCTGGTGTGTTTAAGGTTGGGATGTTCCCCCTTATACTCACAGCCTTTAATAGGGATGATCGTAGGGGGTACTACAAATCCTACGAAGGACTCTTCGCATAAAGGGGAACATCCCAAGCTTAAAGGCGCTGGAGCTTGGGAGCCTTCCAGAGAGCATGCCGATGTGAGAGGCTTCGGCTATTCGTGGAACGATGCTCCTAGCTGCGGAAGAGTTCTAGAGTGCGAAGAAAACCCTACACCATGCCAGCTCTAAACAACCCTCCAAGACCTTCCGAGCTCTGAGCACCCTACCAGCTACCAAAGCAATAACAAAGCCATCGAAGCCCAAGAGCCCCATGACCCTAAAAATCTGCATGAAACCCTCTAAACCCACTCGACACGATTACCTCTCAAGAACCCTAAACCCTAAACCCTAATTAAACCCTAAACCCTAAACCCTAAACCCTAAACCCTAAACCCTAAACCCTAAACCCTAGAATCAACCTACACCCGCCACCCAGAGCCTCCACGTCACTGGGCACCGAGACGACGAAGTCGGCGGATGAGGATGCGTCCGCAGCCAGGATTCCGGGAATCGTGGTGTTCTCCAGGCGAACATCCAGGACACCTGCGTGGGCGTAGGGTTTAGGGTTTAGGGTTTGGGGTTTAGGGTTTAGGGTTTGGGGTTTAGGGTTTAAGGTTTGGGGTTTAGGGTTTAGGGTGGGTGTGGCAGGATTGAAGGAGGTAGAGTTTCTTGCGCGCGGCTCGGCAAACAATGGCAATGCCCTGAACCCTGAAGAGTCAGAGCGCCTAGCACGACATCGACCAGGTAGTCCAGCGGAGCACTCTGTCCTGAGGTGCAACTGGATAGGTGTGAAAGTGAAGAGAACTGGTGTTGAGCCTCCTATCGTTAATTGCATGCTACTTACCTAAGGAATGTTAGAAGCCTTGGGTATGAAGGCAGTTAAGGTTAATTATGGGGGGGAACGATGGTAGGGTGATCCTATGAGGCCAGCTTAGTGTAAGTTAGGGTTAAGGGTTTAGGGTTTAGGGTTTCGGGCTTAGGGTGCAGAAGCTTGAAAGGCCGTCTTGGAACTTTGCGTTGGGGGGGGCTAGGCATTGTAAACCCTAAACATTAGACCCCTAAGCCCCTAAACCTCCAAGCTCCCTAAACCCGAAGCTCCCCAAATACCCCTAGACCCTAAACCCTAAACCGTGAACCCTATACCCCTGAACCCTTAGTGCCCAAACTCCTTGCAACCCCAAGACTGTTGAATCCGAAAGCCCCTTCCCAGCCAAAACTCCCTAGCCCCCTGAACCCCGAAAAGCAAGGGGTATTGAAGGGTTCTCCAGTTACGCGCCCAAGTGAAGGGACCATGCAACTCCCCTAACTCCCCTAGACCCTAAACCCTAAACCCTCAACCCTAAACCCTAAACAGCCCCAAAACCTCTGATCCTCCAATGCCCTAAGCCCAAAACCCTCAAACCTCAACCCAAACCCTAAGCCCTAAATCCTACCTGGACCCCCAAAGTATGTAAAAAAAACAGCCCAAAACCCTAAAAAAGGCCATTGTTTGTCATATTTTGGGGGTTGAGGTAAGCCCTATACCCTAAACCCTGCGCTTGCTGATCAGGATCCGAGCTGTGGGGGTGCAACGGTCAGAAGCACCTGACAGGATCTGAAGATCCTTGTGTGCTGGTTAGAAGGTTTTGGGGTTTCGGGAGTTTTGGGGTTTAGGGGTTTGGGGTGGGTTTAGGGTTTTAGGGATTAGGGTTTAGGGTTTAGGGTTACTTGGCGTTTAGGGTTAGGCTTCGGGGTCCGGGGATCGGGGTTGGAGACGTAGGATTTGGGGCTTAGGGTATAGCCGGCGGCAGGGTTCCTAGGATTCAAGGTCATCTAAGGAATGGGCCACGAAACGACTATGACCCCTATGTAGAAGGAGGTTCCTCCCACCAGATTAATTAGGAGCTAGGATGGTTTAGGGTTCATAGGGTGCAGGGTTTAGATAGTATCAGGACTTCTTTCATTTGAAAAGGGAATAGCTTACTAGTTGATGCTATGGAATTCGGGGATGAACCAAGTACCTTGTATGCACCTACATACATATGTATATATATATATATATATAACCCTTTAAGCGAGTTTGCAGAGCACCTGTCATTCCCAAACACCCTTTTCAAGGACCAACTAGATGGTGGTCATCCATGTCCTGAAACCCTCAACCCTGCACCCTAAACCCTGGAACCCTAAACCCTAACCCTAAACCTTAAGCCCTAAACCTTAAGCCCTAAACCCTAAACCACCCCGGCCTGGCTCACAGCACTTCGAGGGACATCCGGGGGCAGGAAGCCCGTCTCGTCCGGCAGGGCTTGCCCCAAAATCTGAACCTCCGATCAAGTTTAGGGTTTAGGGTTTAGGGTTTAGGGTTTTAGGGGTTTAGGGGTTTAGGTTTAGGGTTTAGAGTTCAGGGTTTAGGGGTTTAGGGATTTCAGGATTTGGTGGTTTACCCTAAAGCCTCGGCCCTACATCCTATGAGCTTGGGTGATCCTGTAGCTCCTGCTTAATATAGGTGTCGGAACAATTACTAACACTATTCCCTTAAGGGTCCCTTTGGAATTATACTGTAATCAGCCCCCCCCCCCCCCCCCAAAACCTATGCTAATTATTAAGGCCCCCTACATTAGGTATTCGGGCGTTTCGTTTCATGGCTCCCGCGCGAACTGGATGGGGTTCAGGGTTTAGGCTTCGGGTGTGACCGTACACCCTGAAATACCAGCAATCCAAACCCTAAAACCTAAACCCAGAACTTTAATCCAAACACCTCATAACCTTGCAGCTTATCAACTCGTGAACAGTAAATCCCCAAACCCACGCATGCCCTAAGCCCCAAGCTGCCAAACTTTATGAGCCCTAGACAATAAATGACAATTAGCCTCAAAAAACCTTCTAACCCTAAAGAAAAGCCCTAAACACGAGACCTACAGTCAATCTTATTCCGCTGGTTCTGAACCCTAAGCCCTAAGCCTGAAACCCTAAATCCTAAACCCTGAGCCCTGAACCCTAAACCCTAAACCCTAAACCCCCCCCCCCCCCCCCAAATCTGAGACTCTCATCCAAGAGGCGGCAGGCTCCACGTTCACACTTGCGAAGGTGCCTGGGTAGCCCAGTAACCATATGATGATAAGAGCACGCTTGTTAGGATGGGTTACTTTAAAACCCGAATCCCTAAACCCTAAACCCGAAACCCTAAACCCTAAACCCTAAACCCTTGAACCAACAAAAAAGGGAAAAGGGTACCGCTGGGGCTGCCCAGGTTCTCTCCGTAACGGCGGACACCTGAATCCTGCGCAGGGTCCCCCTGAGGTGTTCGAGGGTTTGTGGGTTGACCTATTTGCTTAAGAACCACCCCCCCCCCCCCCCCCCCCCCCCCCCCAAAAAAAAAAAACATAAATAACATGGAGATTATGCTTCCTTATAAGGGCAATGTAGGGATTTTAATCTTCTACTGTTTTTTGTTTGTTTTGCCGGGGGGAGGGGGGGGGGGGGGGGGACCCTACAAAATAGGAGGTTGCAACACCCTAACTATAGTGTCTCAACGCATAACCTCCCAGCCACATCCCAAAACGCAAAACCCCTGGCCCTAACCCTTAAACCTTACGAAGCTGTTCTTCAGTTGAGAGGACTGGCCACGTAGTGTAGAAAGAGCGAGCGTGAGAGGCGTCCGGAGAGCTCTCAAGTTCGGATGCACGCAAGGAAGCTTTGTGAGGTAAGAGAGAAAAGGAAATTGGGAATTGGGGACCCTGTAACAATCCCTCAGAGGATCAAACTCAGGGATATAAGGTACCCAATTCCCTTGAACCCATACCAAACAACTCGTAAGGTAAGTTGTCTTAACCTTCTGACACAAAAAGAGTTTGTGCTGTGGGGGCGTGCTGTCCAAAACCCGCCTGAACACAGCTTCGACCTCGGTCTCGCCACAGAGGTCCAAAAAGTCTTCCTGGGCATTGGCGAAGTTCTTAGAACACATTGACGTGGACCGTTTTTCTCAGACCCTGTATCCTCCATATAAAAAGTGATTACAAACAACAAGGGCACCCATAGTTCTATAGTAAGGACTATCCCAAAAAGTTAGGGAATGACAGGGACGCCCATATTGCCCAACGTCCTGACCGAACGACGCCAAGACCTTTACTCAGCTGAGGTCAAAGTGCCTCGCCAGCTATGCTGACTTATCCTACACCCCAAATCCTTAACCCCATAAACCTTAAACCTGGTGAGGGTGGGGGCGTGCGAGGGGCCCTTCCCGATTCGTTCGGGTTTACGGTTCAGTCCAGGGATTTTTCTTGTTCCTAGAGTTTTGTGGTCTAGGGGCTCTTAGAGGGAATTGGGAACTAGGTACGTCATACAAACCCCAAACCCTAAACCCTTTAAAGGGTGATATACAGAGACCCCAGCAAAAAACAAACTCCAAAATCTCCAGCCCAAAGGACTGAGCCCCAACCCCTCACAAGTGTCCACCAATAAAGGGCCTCGCAAGTACCCTACACCTACACCCCATTAGCGTTTAGGGTTTAGGGTGTAGGGTTTACGGTTTAGGGTTCCCCTGAACCCTAAAACCTAAACCCGGAACCCTTCTAAGGCAGCATCCGCGTTCAGGGTCAGCTGGTAGTGGCGCACGGACGGATCGAACCTCAACAGCGGCTGGACTTGGGACATTCGCGCTTTCAGCTATGATGCAAAGGTTGAGGATATACGAGGATCCTAATGGGAACCCCAAACAGAGGAATATAAGGACCCTGGAAGGAATATTCCGATTCTATTCCTATCATATTATTGGGGAGTATTATAGGGTTCCCTGTTTGGGTGTTCCCATTAAAGTCCCTTTAGGATATGTATTCGGGAATCTGCACTCCAGGTCCTAGACCCTAATCTTACCGGTTCTTTGCATACGGAAGGAGGGAAATAGGTCACGCACACGTAGTTTGCCGTGTTGGTTTGGGTGTCCTAAATGTGCTCAAGACCTAGGTGTTGGCAGGATTTCAGGCGCGAACAGGGGTACTGCAAGACAGTGGAAACTACTTGTCTTTCACACAATCCCGTGCGTTTTACAGCACGTCAAGGCCCTGATAGCTCAGAGCGCAGTTCGGAACACAAGCCCCGTTTCACTGCGCGCTGCGCCACAAGGCCGAAAGCTTTCGCAGAAAGACAAGTTTGCCAATGGCACCCATGTTCTTGCGCCAAGCCCACACAAGGCAATGCGCTATACATTCGGCGTGGGCCACAGGTTCCACAAGACACGACAATGCCTCAGCAAGGCTTCCCAAGGAATCCGTGCAGCTGGCCGGTCCCGCCACGCGCACCCAAAGCCCTACTTGGAGGTTCATGGTACTTACTATAAATGTACTTAGAACCCACTTACAAGCACCTGAAGTGCCCTAAGATGGTTATAAGTACAGTTATGAGTACAGTTTAAATTGGCCAACAAGTACCATGAACCTCCAAGTATGGCAGCTGCCTCATCCACAACGGGCATGCACCAGACGTCGTGGTGGTCACAAAGTCAGTAAGAAAAGCCATGGCGACGGATATTGCGGCGCGGTTGCCTCTTCAGAACATCCCAAAACACTGATATGGCCAACATTCTTGCCTCTTTGTTCAGCATACTGCCCCTAAGCCCCTGCACTGCTTCGGGTTGTCGGTTTTGCACTGCTCCGGGTTTTCTGTGCGCGCGTCACCAACTAGGTGTCTGATGCCCCCCGTATACTACCCTCTAAGGCAGGCTACCCAGCCACGAACCGTTGAGAAAGCCCTACTGTAAAGGCAACATCTTGGCTTCTTAATCTGATAAGCCTTAGCAAAAATGATGCTATGTAGAAGGGCCTGCCATGAGAACTACGAAACCTGCAAACAAACACACACACACACACCCGCACACACACCCACACACACACACACACACGCACACGCACACGCACACACGCACACACAAGCGAAAGAGTTCTACATAGAAATATGAAATATGGTATGTAAAATCGCAGGCCCCATGGCAGGCCCTTCTGAGAGACGAAACCCTGCTGTAACCCCTAATCCTAAACTCCTGAACACACAAAAATAGCCCTAAACTCCTACAAAACCCTCCTGTGTACCCTAACCCGAAACTCCTAAACCAAACCCTACTGTAAACTCTGACACTCCTGAACTAAACCTTACCGTAAACCCTATTCCTAAACTCAACCGTGCTGTAAACCCTGCCCCTAAACACCTAAACCAAACACTACTGTAAACTCCAACCCTGGGCTCCTAAACTAACCCTGATCGTAAACCCTAAACCCTAAACCCTAAACCCTAAACCCTAAACCCTAAACCCTAAACCCTAAACCCTAAACCCTAAACCCTAAACCCTAAACCCTAATCCTAAACTGAACCCGACTGCCAACCTTAACCTAAACTCCTAAACTAAACCGTAGAGTAAACCCTAAGCCTAAACTCCAAAACTAAACTCTGCTGTAAACCCTAGACCTGAACTCCAAAACTCAACCGTGCTGTAAACCCTAATCCTAATCTCCAAAACTAAACCCTGTTGTGAACCCTAAACGCTAAACCCTAAACCCTAAACCCTAAACCCTAAACCCATTTCAATGGGCCAGGAGGCGGCGGGAAGAGTGCAGCCTCGAGTGGAACCAGTGTGGCGCCAGCCTCCTCAGGCCAAAAGTTGCTTAAAATCGGACAGGAGACGACGGCAGTACTACGGTTTCGTGTGAAGGGCTTACAGGGTTCATAGGGTTTATGGTGTTTATAGGGTTATTGTGTTTATCGGGTTTGCAGGGTTTATAGGGTTTAAAGGGTTGGGGTTTATAGGGTTTATGGTGGTAGGGTTTATAGGGTTTTTAGGGTGCCCAGGCCGAAAGCTGCAAAATCAGACAGGAGAAGGCACTACTACGGTTTAGGGTGAAGGGTTTATAGGCTTTGTATAGGGTTTAGGGTTTGGGATTCAGGGCTTAGGTTTTGGGGCTTAGGGTTTAGGGTTTAGGTTTTGTGGTCAAGTGACTTCGTGTTTAGGGACTCAGGGCCAGGTGAAATGGAAGCCAGCAGAAACACCGAAACCTGCCAAAAACGGCTTGACCTCGTCACGCACGAAAAACCACATGTCACAATGACCCCTTACATCATCAACCCTAAATGAGCCCCTTATACCCCAAACTATGCATGACTTGAGAACCCTAAAACCCTGAAAGCGCGCACAAACTCGAAACCCTTTAAGCAAAAATGGAGATGCAAACACTACAAACCCAAAAGAAATCTTAAGCCCTCAGCTCTGAGCAACAAATAGACCCCAAACCGACAACACTAAACTCTAAACACTAAAAAAATCCTTGAGCCCTAAGTAAACCCCAAAATCTGAAACCCAAAACAAACCTTGAAAAAAAGAAGCCTTGAACCCTAAGCTCTAAACCCTAAACACATTTGGAACACGATAAAAGCCTGCAAACCCTGTAAACCCTATAACCCGACACTGAACCCAATCGGCCCAACTTGCAACCCCGTGAACCCTAAACGGACCCTTTGCACCTGAGTGCAACATCGCTCGGACACAGCCGCGAGCATGCTCGTTGGAGCATTGAACGACTCGAGGATCCCGCTCGTAATCTTTTCCACTTCCTCCTCAGGTGCCTTCAAAAGAACTGGGACGACCCATTCATCCCTTGCTCCAGACGGCTGGTCCCTTCAACTCTCCAAGAGCTGTAAGTACTCCAACAGATACAGGAACGCAACGGTCTCCTGTGCCTCGTTGTTCTTCCTGGCAATCTGCCAGCAACCAGTCCAAAAATCAGACCCCGCCTCCTGGCCCCATTTGCGACGCTAGTCGTCGTTGCCGCTGGTTTCATCATTGGGGTTTAAACTCAAAATGAGCCTTATACAACTTGACTTAAAATGAACAACCCAAAACCCTAAACCCTAAAAGAACCCTACATGAATCCTACATAAACGCTAACCCCTAAACCCTAACCCATAAACCCGAAACCCCAAGATCTGAACCCGAAACCCCACATGAACCCTACATAGACCCTCAAAGCCTAAAGCGCCGGCCTGCGTAACGTTGACAGTGGAGACGTTGGGATCCACAGGGGTCCTCGAATGCAAGAGTGGATTGAGGATGTAGGGTTTAGGGTTTAGGGTTTAGGGTTTAGGGTTTAGGGTTTAGGGTTTAGGGCAAGCCGCGGGTCGAGAGGTTGTTTTTTTGGGGTTTTGGGCGGTTTTGGGGGGTTTGGGCCGTTTGGGGAGTTTCGGGCGGTTTTGGGAATTTTGAGGTCTTGGGGGCTTCGATGTTTAATTTATATGTTTTGTTTGCTTTTTCTCATACAAAACAATTAAAAAACAAAAACAAAGACAACAACAAACAAAACAGGGGGGGGGGGGGGGTTACCCTAAACCCATGTGTGGGTTTTTTGAGGCTTTCCGCATTTAGGTAGAGCTTTTTGAGTTCAGGGTAGGGGATTCAGGGGTTCAGGGCTGAGGGGGACGAAGGCTGCACAGGCTTGGGGGTCAGGTGCTGTCAGGTGCTGTCATGTGTGTGGCTTGGAGACGATTTGCGAGTGGCCGTTTAGGGTTTAGGGTTTAGGGTTTAGGGTTGAGGGTTGAGGGTTGAGGGTTGAGGGTTGTAGCCAGCTTAAATCCTGGAGATTCAGGAGTGTGGTCTTGTGGCTAAGGGCGCTTGGCCTGGCTCAACCGTGTTGGGTGGGGATCTTCGATTCGTGGCAGGTTTAGGGTTTAGGGTTTAGGGTTTAGGGTTTAGGGTTTAGGGTTTAGGGTTTAGGGTTTAGGTTCTCTGATTCAGCAATGGTGTCTGACCACCCCTTTTAACCTAAACCAGAAGCCCGAATTAAACCCCAAACACCAAGCCCCATAAACCGCTAAACGCCCTGCTCGCAAAGGAACAAGCGCCAACAGCCAGACTCCCCAACAAGTTTCGGCACTACAATCGGGGGAGTCTAAGAAGGTGCAGATGCAAGAATCAAGGAACAAAAGGAGGGACTCATAAGGGACCTATAGGGACTTTATATATATATATATACACACACACATATATATATATATATGGGTTATATGTACATATATATATATATTCTGGGTTATATACGGGATTTTGCTCCAAAGGCTCATAAAGAGGAGCAAGCGATTTCCAAAACTAAAGCTGCTGGTTTAGGGCTCAGAGGGCTTCTAGGGCTCAAAGTGCTGTACACCGGTTCAGAGGGCTTTATAGGGTTTACAGAGTTCATGTCGCCCCAAGGGCTCAGGGCCTAAACCCTAAACCCTAAACCCTAAACCCTAAACCCTAAACCCTAAACCCTAAAACCTAAACCCTAAACCCTAAACCCTAAACCCTAAACCCTAAACCCTAAACCCTAAACCCTAAACCCTAAACCCTAAACCCTAACCCTGCTTAGGGTTTAGACGCAGCCAAAGGCGCGTATTCTCGGTAGTATTCTCTGTGGCGTTGTCCGTTGCGTTGTCAATCGCGATCTCTGCCGCAGGAGTGCAGACCGCCTGATTGCTTAGGGTTTAGGGTTTAGGGTTTAGGGTTTGGGGTTTGGGGTTTAGGCTTTAGGGTTTAGGGTTTAGGGTTTTAGGGTTTAGGATTTAGAATGGGGTTTAGGATTTAGGGTTTTGGGGGCTTAGGGTTCAAGGTGCAAGGTTCAAGGGCTGCTGATTTCCCT